AATTCATGAACATTTTTTGAAATTTCGAATAAGTGAACATTTTTAAATTAAAATAAAACCTACGAAATAAGGCAATATATGGGAAAGAAATCGAAAGAAAAAGAAACATCGGCTCACTGGGAGCCTCGCGCCAGTCGTGGCAGACTGACTCGCTAGAGGCGTCGCATCCCCAGTGTACACGCTTACTCGCTAGGCCGGCCCGCCTGACAAGGTTGTGACTTGTGAGCGAGGCATTCCTCTTGCGGTCGCTATAAGGTAGTTTGGTCTGTCTCTTTAAATTCTAAAGTTTGCACTTGGGTTGATGAATCAACCCCCTAATTTCCTCTCGCCTTTGCTTTTGAATGATGCAACTCTGTTTGATAATCAATGATGCGATAGAAGGCTTTTCCTGGGAAAGAAAAATAGACCTTATGCCACTGTGAATGATGTACCAAACAATGAAAAGTGGGTCGAGCAGGGAATATATTAGATCACTCAGGCTACCAAACATACCCTCATACATTTGCGCCAAATGCGTGCATACAAAATCCGTTGTTTGTGGATGTATGCATTATACCAGTACAGTTCTGTTTACAAGAACAATAGTGATAAACTACTCCCAACAGGGAGGAATGCAAACAAATGTACCGGGTTCAAAGGGAGATCTGCAGAGGAATTATTCCGAAACGGGGAGCGTTCGAGGGGGTGCGGAGAACACAAATTTAATTTGGACGATAGTCAATCACTTTGACAGGAAAATGGTAACTGCACAAGTAAATGGGCAGTCAGCACCAAAACCAGATAAATAAAGCATGGGTTGAACTCGGCTAAAAAACTGAGCCAGACACCAGCTTTACTCTCACTAACAAGTGGAGTTAATATGGAAGTTGTGCAATGTTTCTGAAGGAGTATTGATGCCCTGTTGTTTACTCTGTTCAGTACTCCATTACAGCCTGAGGTGCTACTCCGGATGATTAAATATGATGAGGTGAAAAGAGTTTCTGACAGCCACTACAGCTCGATCATCAACAATTCAGAGAAGTTGCATATTAATGATACCTTCCTCATGCTTGAGCTCAATGCCAAATATGAAATCAGTTAGCAACTAATAATTTCGTTTGCTACAAAGAGGTTCTCTCTGTCTCCCTGTCTATTTATTAACCAGCCATTCGAGAAATCTCCTGTTAAGCTATGGTATTTCTTATCATGCAAAATATGCTGCATTCCTCCTGCACAATATCAACATGAAGGCAGTATCAGTAAGAGTTCTAGCAGACCAACAGGTACTTGGACATACTTCTGAGCAAGTACCATTTTGAGCTTCACAGTTAGCTCCTTCAGATTGTCCGAGCGCTGGAGAATACTGTGCAGTGGGTAGAAGTCAGCAGTCATGACCCAATCGGCCAGGACCAAGCTTGTCAGATTGCTGAACATGGGGCATGTTGGCAAACCTCTCTCAAATGCACGCTTCAAATTCATCCATCAGACATGAAACCAGCATGTTAAAGAGTTGCAAAGAAAACATAATACCAACATATACGAGGCATTCCTAGACTAATAGCAACATCGGGCATGTTTCATCATATGGGTAAGAAAAGAAAAGAACACATTCTTACCTCATGTAATGGCGCATGCAGCTCCAACGTTGTGGCATGTGAAAGGCCATCAAGTAGATGATGCCCCACTACTACTGTGTCCCTATGATAAAAATGTTTGGATACTAGACTAATCGAAGCTGTTACCAGAGAAGACAGATCCCTAGTTACTATACCACCAATGTCTGTGTCAAGGATAGAGAGATTGGTAAGGTTCCTAGCACAAAATCAGGAGACTGGGGGTGAGGTAGCACCGACTGATATGCAGAACCTTGAGCGACCTTGATGAGATCTCCTCATGGCCCCAGAGAGTGCACAACTCCAGCCCTAAATGTTGAAGCACAGGGCAGTCGTAGTTCAACGGCCTAAAAAACCCATGTCTTAACATGGCAGCTTGGAGCCTGATTGTTTTGAGGTGCTGAGAAGGAAATATTGCTGTCTTATCCAAACTGAGAGGTCCAGAGATATCAAGGACACGAACTTTGTGCATGATGGCATGACGAATCCACACGGAACATTTGGTACAATCAACGCAGCAGGGAGAGATTCGGGCTTCATCCAAGGAAGCGGTATAGTCACGCAAGAGCAGCAAGCAGTCAATGAAATTCTCCAGCTTGCGATTATCCACAAAGTCTTTGCCGTCGATGCGGATGAATGGTGTAGAGCACCAAAGAAAGCGCCATCTTGGTGAGAGAAGGCTTGTGCGCACGACCTCTGGCATCGGCAGGAAGGACATCACAAGGTGGAGCATATCGTCGGACAGGCTGCTGAGCCTGTCGACACCATTCCCGCTGCCTCTCGCACTCTTGGAACCACAGGGAGTAGGTGTTGGTGCCGACATTTCAACAAACAGGACGGCTGCATGAATCCACAAAGGGCAAGGTCAATGCAAAATAATCAAATCACAGGTATAAACATTGCAGGAAGCACACGAAGAAATGAAACTATTTTAATCATGAAGCAACGGTGTTGGCAATCACACAATGCAACCTTATGTAAATGCATACAGTCCAGGAAAGTGAAATACATATGCAGACATGAGCGAAAAATTGTAAATAAAGTTTAAGCTGTAAATATCACCATCCTTGACATAAGCTCAATATTCGGCAAACGAATAAGATAAATAGGTCAATCAAGTCTCGCAGCATTCCAGTTGAGGAAATGTATTATACATGTGGAAATTTGGACGCAATGGCAGCAAATTATTCAATTGTATGTATATAAGCAGGAAGCAGCATTGCATGATTTGCATCAATGGCGATATGACATGAACATGAATTGGCATCAATTGTGTATTGTATGGCTGACAAGAACATGAACTGACATCTATGGCAGTATAAGCAGGAGCAGTCAGCAGTGTATGCATCAATTTTATTCATCGTCATCTTCCCAGATCGGCAGGAAGGTCAATTATAACTTGCTTAACTTGCTACGGCACCCTGCAGGTTGGAGGCGAGCCGGCGAGGAGAGGGGGCCGCGCGGCGCCGTGATGGGATCGGGCTAGCTGGCGTCGGCGTCTCCGCGGCAGCTGACAGGGGAGAGGGGAGCGATCCGACGAGCGGAATGAGAGGGCCGATCGGCGACGTCTGGCAGGGGAGCGGCCGACGGCCGAGGGAGGTGGCGGCGCCGGCCTCGCCTCTCTCTCTGGCCGAACTGTTTTCTTTTTTGAGCGAGACGAGAGGAAGTGATTGTTTTTAGGGGTACGAGAGGAAGTCATGGGAGTGGGCTGCTGCCTTGCTGGGCTCAGGCCATGCTGCCGTTTTTGGGCCACAAATCTGTAAAATATGACACGAACGTTTTTTGAATTTGCTAACTCGCACAATTTTGGGAACAATTTTTGAATTGATGAACTTTTTGAATTCGCGATTCTATTTCAAATTATATAAAATTTTCAGAACCCGTGATGATTTTTGAAATTCACGAACGCTTTTTAGTTCAAGAAAATTTTCAATTTTGTGAACAATTTTTGAATATGTGAACATATTTCAATTTCACAGATATTCTTTAAATCCGTGTACATTTTCAAATTCATTAAAAAGATTGAATTCATGAACTTTCTCAATTTTGTTTGAACAATTTTTGAACTCGCGAACATATTTTTGAATTCGTGAACAATTTTTTGTAGTGACAAACGTTTTTTCAATAAATATTTTGGATCCGTGATGATTTTTTGCTTTCATCAACATTTTCTACACTTGTGTTTTTGAATTCATGAATATTTTTGCGAATTAATGAATATTCTTAAATTAGAATAAAACCTACTAACATTGAAAGACGGTATGTGGAAAAATCAAAATAAAATAAAACATCGGCTTGCTGGGATACTTTTCCGAATTAGTGAACATTTTTTTGTGAATCAGTTCTGTAAATTCAAGTTTGCACTTGGGTCGATAAATCAACCCCCTAGTTTCCTCTTGCCTTTGCTTTTGAACGACGCTACTCCATTTGATAATCAATAGAATGCGCTAGAAGACTTTCCTAGGAAAAAATGTAGACCTTACGCACCACACCAAACAACGAAAAGTGGGCTGAGCAGGAAATATCTTAGATCAAACATGCCTTCATACATTTGCGCCAAATGCGCGTATACAAAATCCGCTGTTTGTGAATGTATGTATACCAATACAGTTCTGTTTACAACAACAATAGCGATAAACTACTCCCAACGGGGAGGAACACAAAAAACGTACTGAGTTCAAAGGGAGATCTATAGGGGAATTATTCCGAAACGGGGAGCGTTCGAGGGGTGCGGGGTGAACAAATGAGTGTAAATGGCACGGTAGTCTGGCGATCACTCCGAGAGGAAGATGGATTTGCACTGCTGCACCGTGTCATTGGGGCTGGTAACTGCACATGTAAACGGTCAGTCAGCACCGAATCCCGATAAATAAATCATGGGTGGGACGCGGCTAAAAAACTGGGCCAGACACCAGCTCTAGTCTCGCTAACAAAGTGGAGTAACAGAGTAATGTTTCGCAACTAAATCACAATGGGAATTGCTTAATGTTTCTGAAGGAGTATTGATGCCCTATTATTTCCTCGGTTACAGCCCGAGGTGCACTCTTCAGGGACGAAAAGGTGCTACTCCGGATGATTAGATATGATGGTGAAAAGGTAGTTTCTGACAGCCACTACAGCTTGATCATCAACAATTCAGAGTGGTTGGGTGTTAATGATACTGCCCTCATGCTTGAGCACAATGCCAAATATGAAATCAGTTAGCAGTAATAATTTCATTTGCTACAAAGAGGTTCTCTCTGTCTCTCCTGTTTATTTATTAACCAGCCATTTGAGAAATCTCCTGTTAAGCTATGATATTTCTTATCATGCAAAATTGCTCGTTCAGGGATGTCCTAGTATAAATATAAATGCCTCCTAGATTTCATAATCATCAGAAGAATAGCTTTGAACATACAACTAATAATTTCATGCAAAATTACCTGTATGACCAACTGTTCTGTCAGATTCAAATATCTCATGATCATTGCCACCCTATTAAATATAATGAAAGGAAAAGAGAATGTCAGTTTCAGTTTGTAGTATACAGTACAGCTTAGTTTGTAGTAATTAAATGGGATGTCATTAACAGTGGCTTGAAAAGTTTATCAAACAACATCTTGTGTGCACAAAGGTACTTCACAAAAAGAAAAGGAGATTTCTTTACTTGGAAGCACTGCACAATTAAAGTATATATATCTCTTACCTTGTAGGTTTTGTCCCCAAAGAAATGGATTTCCTTGAATTCTTCCAGATATCTCAAGCAGTAGGTTTTGTCCCAGCCTTGTGGGAATACCTGAATTCAGTGGTGCAGTAGTAAATACCAAACTGAAGATTTCTAGCAGATTTTATGAGTTTAGAACACTTACATCAAAACTGATCTGCCCTCCAATGGAAAAAGTCAGGTTCAGGTGTGCAAACTTTTCGCGAAGCACTGACACCATTTTAGGCCGAACGTTATGTACCTAAACAAAATGAGTCGGTTCAGTTTCATGTTTTTCTAATAGCTATTTCCCCTTTCTGATTATAACTAACTACTTGTTCTTATAAGACAATCTGTACCTTATCATACTTCTCAAAATCATCACGTTCTTCCTGACTACAGTTCCTCCCTATGGGCGACACATTGATCATTCCACTCCTGAACTCTATGAATGTACCCCTGCGCAAACATTTACTTTACCCGGTCAGTAAAGGGCAAGCGCCCGAGGGAATTCTCAAACAGGATTCTGCACCGACCTTTTAATTGGGATATCCAAGTCCGCAATGTAATGAAGAGTGAAGTTAATGAATTCCTGCAAATAACACATAACATCACTACCAAGGCCTCAAAACTCACCGGCAACAACAGCGCAAGAAAGAAGGCCATGGAACATAGGCTCACCTTAAGCTGGTCATCTCCAAGATACGTTTTCAAGCTCTGCAGAGTGAAGAACACCAGGCAGAATTCAGTTGTACATCATTATGCAATATCTCCAGTAAAATCAGCACACCTGCGCTGAAACAGCGCGGCGTGGGCACTTACTTGCGTCCCGATGAGCTTGCCGTCCTTGTGCGCGACCAGGCCGTTCTCGGAGAAGACGTAGTCATAGTCGGTGATGACTGCAGTGGGGAGAACAGATATCAAGGTCAGTTCTTGCAGTTACATTTACAGACAAGGTGAGCAAACAGTGCGGTTAGGGGGAGACTCTGAATCCAAGCAGAGTGTCCTGCTGAATCCAAGCAGGCTGGGTACCTGATTTGCCGAGCTGCTCGGAGATCTTGACCAGATCGGATCCCCCCACCACGCCGACGGTCACAATCTGCTCCCAGGAAGAAAACCAGAGTGCCATAACCCATACACACAGTGAGCAATCAATCTCGCCTGAGAATCGCACGGAAAAGAAACTGAAACGGGAGAACGACAGACAGGGTCGCATTCGGGCCTCACCTCGCGCAGGCGCTTCATGAACTCGAGCATCTCCGGCGTCACCTCCTTGCGGGGCGCGGTGAGGGTGCCGTCGACGTCGAAGAGCGCGAGCACGCCGGCGTTCTTCCTCGCCGCCGCCATCTTCCTCCTCCTGCTGAAGCTGCTGCTACGAGGAAGAAGAAGGAGGGACGGGGCGCTCCTCCTCGCGGCGGCCGCGTGATATAGCGCCCCCGGGGTGGTCGCCGGGAGGAGGATGCGTGCGGCGGAGAAAGAAGTCAGCTTTACGGCGCGGATCCAGATGCGCCGGGGCTGCTCCACTACTATCTCTTCTCGCTCCCCCCACGAGGCCACGAGGCGGCGACGGCGGCGACGGGGATGACGTCGGCCCACGCGGGTCGGCGCGTGCCGACGACCGGGCGCCACGTCAGCCGCCTCGACGTGCTTCCGGCGACGTGGCGGTCCCGGAGTGGCGCACTGCGCGCAGAGTTCGTATCCACACCCCCACGTAGGAGACACGCTGGGCCTAAAATCACTATGGACATTTTTTTCACCGCACACATTATATTAATTGAATTAATTAATACTCCCTCAGTAAAGAAATACTGATCTAAATGCTCTTATATTACTTTACAGAGGGGAACTAAATAAACAAAATACAACTGCCCATAAAACTAGTAGAAAGACGGAAACATGGCAGATGTTCACAGGAGCGGACCTCACATAGAAAAAATTATAAATAAGTCCTTTGAGCATCCTCGCGGTCAAATGCAATGTGGTAGCCCGCATGTGAAAAGAGTGTAAGCCAGCCCCAACCGGACAGATCGTTCCCGACCAGTTCCGTTCGAATGCATAACGAACATAGTTCACATTGAAGCCTCTCACTGCCCAAGAGACACCGGTTGATTGTCGATAGGAACGGAAGTGCTCGCGACACTTGTTCTTCCTGAAGCATGCCGAACCACAACACCGATTACCCGGCTGGCGCAAGCACGTCCGCAAGTTCCTCCCCCGTCAGCCTGTCGTCCTCCAGGGCTCAGGCCCCTTCAATCTCCCCCTCCATGAACTCGGCCATCTCCCGCCGACCGTGTAGATTAAGCCCGACGAGCGAAAAACATCGGCGGCTACAATGAGCAAAGCCCTCTGGAGCGAGACATGGAAATGAAAGGGAGAAGATGGGCAATGAACGCCTCGTCTGAATTGCGCGTGAAAAAACAAACTTATAGGAAAATGTAACCGCCTCAAAGAAAAGACCAAAACGCCAAGACACACCGGGGCCATGGCAAACCGACATAATGCCCCAGCCAAACAACCGGGCAGCCGAAAGGGCCACGCAAATGCCTCCCACAGGCAGCACAACCGCCTAAATGTCCATCTGCACAGCTGGGTAGCCAAAAGACCCAGACAAGCTCCCCCAGCCCGCACAGACAGCTGGACATCCCTCTGCATAGCCGCTGCCACCCATCAAGGTCGCCCGGTCTTCAAGTTCTACACACCGATGTTGTAGATAAATCAAAAGAAGGTCAACATGGATACACGACCAAGGTCATAGAAGGCTACAATTTCATCCAAGAGTTTCCGGCCGACGAAATTGATCTAGTCTTTAATGAGGTGATCCATACAAATATCTTTTCTCTCGGCGCAGTTTCCCCAGAGTTAATGAGGCTTTGGGTACTACACGGAGCTTCAGATCACCTACTCCAGCAACGTAAAGTGTCCTTACTTGATCATTTTACATGCACTGCCACAACCTGGAAACCAGAAATAGCTAGGAGCTCATCTCGGACTACTGTTCCTGTCGTGGAATTGTCACGACAGATGTCCTCGTGAAAGGACTTAGTTGTGGAGCCATCGCAACTAGGAAGCTTGAAGGGGTTAATCGGGACAAAGGACACGAGATGTTTTATACTAGTTCGGCCCCTTATGGTGAAGGTAAGGCCTACGTCTAGTTGGGTTGTTATTGATGTTTCGATGACCAGGGAGCGAGATATGCTATGCCCGGTTCTCGATGAGTTGTTTCTTTCCCTAAGCCGCCAGCAGGTCGTCCCCTTATATACACGGGTCGACGCCCTGTGGCCTACAGAGTCCCGGTCGGCTTATAACAGTGTCCGGCTCGGTGACTAGTTAAAACTACCTTATGATACAAGTCATACAATTATGGCGGTTTACTACAACGGGCCTTAAGTCGCCTGTGGGCTTTAAGCCCTCTATGAACCGCCATCTTCATGCTTTGGTCTTGGGCTTCTCTCTGGTAAGTCTTCTTTGCGTAACCCGGCCCCTCCTGGGCGGCTTACTCAAATAGTCATATCCCTAACATTAGGCCCCAGATTGATTTGAACCTGTTCATGTCAATCTTAAAATACCTCATGGAACTGTCCTTAGTATTTTGTCTTGCATGAATGTTCCCGCCGTGACGTCATCATCTGGATCCGGGTTAAGTCTTCGTGACGTCATCTTCAAATAAAATTTATTTTGACTCCGCCATATCTTCCAACGAATCTTTGCCTTTACTGGCCATCCTGAGAATCAAGGCGTCGGGGCCGCTAGATAATGATGTTTTGGTCTCCTCGTTTCTCGCGCCATCTTGGTCAGTCTTTCCTTATAAATAGGGCGACCTAGGTCTTTCACTCCTCTTCCTCTCAGTTGTCCTCTTTCTCTTCTTCCTCTCGAGCTCTGCCGCCGCCGCCGTCGAACCCCTCGTCTTCACCGACTCGGGACGCTGCATCAACCTGACTCTGACCAGAGATCGACGGCGAACCTCCGCAGCTCGTCCGCCTCCGTGAGTTCTTCTCCTTCCCTTTCTTAGATCTGCATTGAGACTTTGTCAAGTTCGTCGGCGTTCATCACCGCCCGACGCAAACCCTCACTAGTTCTTACCCCCAATGCCCTATTTAGATCGTAAAAGTTACGTAGAACTGCTGCGGTACTTGTTTGTGTTAATCTTGCATAGAAATAGATCTCATTTCCCTTGTTTGGAAACCTTCTTCGAGTGTATGAACTTCTCTGCCCTGTTTTTAGGTCTAGATTTTTTTTTCAGAGCAATATTTTGATCCTGATGAATAACTGTCATCTGTGAAACTTGTTTTTATCACCCGGAAAACTTCTTTCTGGTAAACGCCCTTAAACACAACTGTCGAGGTGTCCGGTTTAAATAAATGACACAAAACCTTAGTTGCTCCTCATGACCTGAAGAATTTTAAACTGCGCTTGATACTTGTAGAGGCTTAAATATTGTTGCACAGTCATCCTTATATCATTAGGCCCCTCCTTAAGCCACCACCTTGAATAATTAGGATTTTCCTCCCTGGTTAAAATTGAACCGGATCTTCTTATTTTATCATAGGCCAACTGTTGTCATGGCTCCTAAGGGGGCCAAGGCCCCTGTAACCTGCAATTGGGTCCCATCCACAGTTACCAAGAGTAAACTGGCTGAGTTCGTGAAATCTGGCCACCTGCCCAAAAAGGAGGTCATGTCTTATCGTGTCCCTGACCCATCTGAAGAAAAGCCTCATCCCAAAGACGGGGAGGTGATAGTTTTTACGGATCACATGAGCCGGGGATTTGCCCCTCCCGGCTCAAAATTCTTCAGGGAAGTTTTGAATTTCTTTGACCTTAGACCTCAAGACATCGGACCCAATTCCGTGTCAAATATCTGCACTTTCCAAGTCTTCTGCGAAGTGTACCCGGGAGAGGAGCCAAGTCTGCTATTATTCAGGGAACTTTTCTATATGAACCGGCAAAATGAACGTGCCAACGGGCCCAGTCTCGAGCTTGGCGGTATCTCGATCCAACGACGGAGAGATTGCCTTTTTTCCTTATGCTGAGCTGCCGAGTCACCCAAAATCTTGGAACCAAACGTGGTTCTATTGTCAGGACACTTCTCCGGCTGATGAGAAACCTCTGCCCGGCTTTCGTGCCCTGCGCCTTGAATCCAACCATCCGCCACCAGATAAGCTAACAGTCGTTGGACGTCTACCTCTCAACCCGACCATCAAGAAGATCAAAGCTCTCTTAGGAAATGGCTTAAACGACATCGATCTGGTCCGAGTCTGGGTCACCTGGCGAGTGCTTCCATTAAGCCGCTGTTCCGGCTTAATGTGTACTTACACAGGCAAAAAGGATGACCCGTTACGCCATAGCCCTGACGACTTACCAGATGACGTGGTGGATGCCACGACCCAGTCGCTGCTGAAGGAGGGCACTGTGACGAGCAACGCCTTCGGCTTACTTCCCTTTTGCAAAAATAACCCGGCCCCTGCTGTAAGTTATCAATCGTAATAAATACTTTTTGCTATATTATACCTTTTTTGATACTCATAATTCCTTATCCTTTTCCACAGGCTGATGATAACTTTTGGAAGGCCAAATATGACCATGAGGCTGCTAAACAAGCAAGGAAGACCAGAAAAGCCGAAAGGAAAGCCGCCAAGACGGGAACCTCAAAGAAAAAGAAACCCAGTGCCTCCGACTTACTCAGATTGGAGGACAGTTCTTCGGATGATGAAGAGGTAATCTTTAAAAATTTTGTTTTACTCCCCTTGTCATTATCTGTCTAACACTTTATCCCTTTAGGAAGATACGGGAAACAGTCGAGCTGCCAATGAAGAGGTAACTATAATCTCCTCCGACTCAGAGCCTTTGCCAAAGCAAAAGATCCAAAGGGTGACCCGGAAAGTAAGATTTTCACATGCTCTAGCTTATCAAGATCCTCAATTTCTTTTGAAGCAACAACAGCTTGAGAACCGGAGGCAGACCCGGAACAACAAGGATGCGGAACTCTCTTCCGGCTTACCTGACGTAACCAGGAAGCGTCGGACTGAGGTTATCTCCGATTTATGTTCTGTTTTACCTTTAGCGGGCTTAATTCGCCATCCTCTTAATTCGTCTGACTCCAATTATCAGGATACCTCTCCTTCTTCCGGTGAATCCATGCAGTCAAACATGCCGGCTTTCAAAACTGCTCCTGGGTAATGTAACCTTATGCACTTTTTACGTTACCCATGCTTGCGTATTCATCCTTCCGCTTTTGTTAACAGCATGCAAGTGAAGCCCAATAAACGGGCAAAGAAGAATAAGCCATCCGAAGAACCGGTCGTGGCTGAACCGGTGATTAATGCGTCTGCTCCAGACAACTCTACCCATCA